AAAAAAAAAAAAAAAAAAAAAAAAAAAAAAAAAAAACCATAAGTGCTGATGGGCTGTGGTGAAAGGGGAACTCTCTTACACCGCTGTTGGGAATGTAAATGGTCCAGCCACTGTGGAGAACAATATGAAGATTCCTCCAAAAATCTACAAATAGAACTACCATGTGATCCAGCAATCCTACTCCTTGGTACCTACCCAAAGAACAGAAGAACACTTAATCAGCAAAGTGCTTGTACATCAATGTTTATTGCAGCACTATTCACAATCGCTAAGTCATGGAAACAACCCAAATGCCCATGAACAGATGAATGGATAGAAAAACTGTGGCACATATACTCAGTGAAATACTATTCAACCATAAAAAAAATAAAATTAAAAAATAAAATTAAAAAAACCCTGACTTTTGACAGGAAGTGGATGAATATGGAAGAGTTACTGCTGAGTGAAGCAAACCAGGCTATGAAGGAGAGACATTATATGTCCCCACTCAATATATACCAAGTGTCCGCACTGTATGACCGAAATTAATTGGCTAAAGGATATAGAAACACAGTATATAGATGCAAATACCAGATATAGTGTGTGTGAAAGAGGATCTGAGGAAGGACACTTAGAAGAAAAACAGGGAGGCAAAGCATTAACAACACAAAGAAATGTGGTATTATCTGTTGACGATATTTTGTAGTTTTATCAACTGTACTAAAGAGAAATGTTCACCTGTTGAAATACCCATTTTGTAAGATAAATAAAAATATGATTGAATGTATAAAAGAAAATGAAATTAAAAAATGAAGAAAAAAGTATATATATATATAATCCTAAACTAGCAGAGACCACTAAGAGTGTGGCACTGCCTTTAAAAACTACACCTTTTCTCCTTTGTTGGCCGCTAGCCCAATTTTGTACCTCACTCTCATGCTTCTTTCTTCTAGTCTAACCCAGACTCCTTTTCTTCTATTCCTATACTTTTCTTTACTCATTCACATAGTGCTTATTTATTAACTGCCGGCCATATGCCAGGACCATGCTATAAGCTAGGAACTTCAAACTGGAAAGGTAATCTGAAAGTGGGAAAAATAAAAGGAAATTATTTAGCATATAGCAAGACATTGAATTGACTTCACACAAGTTCTACTGATGATACTTCTGAACTGCTTTGCAAGGTTCACCTCCCCTGTTTCTGTCAGCAATGATATATGGTAAATCTGAAGCACATCTATGGAAACAAATTATCATGGCTTATTTAAATCTACATTCTTTTTGGCACCATTGAGGTGAGTTAGGGAGCCTGGATGAAGATTCTCAGTGATCACCACCTCCACATATTCGCACTCTTGGGTCATCCCTTCTCCTCCACCATGAGCTAAACCTAGTAACTTGCTTCCAATAAATAGACTGCTACATAAGGGATCAGATGTCACTTCTAAGATTTGTTAACGAAAAGACTGGCTTCTATAGTCCAGGAATGATGAGGAGAGGGGAAGGGATGGGAGACGTAGATTAATGGAAACAAAATAACAGATAAATAAAGGGAATAAATTTTAGCATTACAAAATATAGTGGGATGAATATATTAATACCAAGTAACAATTTATTGCATAGCTCAGATTATCAAAAAAAAAAGAGGATTTGGGAGGCCAGCAGATGGCGTAATAATTATATCACTGGACTCCCAGATGGCTGACCACAGTTTGAGTCCCAGACCCAGTGGTTTGAAAATCACACCGAGCACATGTATGTGTGTGCTCAAGATCCTGGGAGAAGAATGGAGAAGAAGAGATTGTGGTATGGTCATCCCCCTAGGGAGGGGTCATTTCTCACTTTCTCTCTCACCATCTTTGTCTCTCTCTTTCTCTGGTGAACATATGTACACTAAAGCAAAAACCTCTTTAAAAAAAAAGGTGGAGGATTTTGAATGTTCCCAATAGAAAGTAATGTCAAATGACTGATACGATGGATATACTGATTGGTCTGACTTGACCACATTATGTTCTTGCACTGAAAAATCACATTAAACCCCACCAACATGTATAATTATTATATGTCAAGAAAATAAAATAGAAAAAGATTGTGACTTTTGTACTGGGTCTTCTCCTGCATTCTCTTCCTTGTGTCCATTTAGGGAAGCCACTTGTCATGTCATAAGCTGCCCTGTAGAGAGGCCCAGGTGGTAAAGAACTGAAAGATGTTTCTGGCCACCAGCCAGCAGGGAAGCAAATCCTACAATAACCATGTGAATGAACCTGGAAGCAAATCTTCCCCAGTCAATCCTTAGATGAGCCCAAGCCACAACTGCAACCTCATGAGAGATCCTGAGTTGGCGAAAGCCAGGAAAGCTGCACCCAAAGTCCTGGCCCATAGACTGTGAGACAAATATTTGTTGTTTTAAGTTATTAAGTTTTTTTTTTTTTTTTTTGGAGAGATTTTCACTGTAGGGCGCGTGCGCTCGCCAGACAGACAGAGAGAGACAGAGAGACAGAAAGCGAGAAATCACCCCCCAGGGGGAATGGTCACGCCACAATCCCTTCTCCTCCATTTTCCTCTCAGGATCTTGGGCACGCACGCACACGCGCCCGGCGTGAGTTTTAAGCCACCGGGTCCGGGACACGAACCACAGTCGGCTACGTGGGAGTCCAGCGACATAGCCATTACGCTAACTGCTGGTTCCCTTAAGCTATTAAGTTTTGGGGTGATTTGTTTTACAACATAAAACTAATAATGATAAGACTAAAAACTAAACATGAATAAAGTAAGTTCATTTCTACTCTTTCTAGCTGGTCTAAATTCATCTTATATATGTGCATAATCATGTTATCATATTGTGTCTTCATTACATGTAATACCCTCTAAAAACACCTGTACATGCATGTACACAAGCCAACAAATGTCTTCAATTTAAAGGCTATTTATGGTATCCAAAATGATATAAGGGAAATATTATCTAATCTTAAAAAGCTATCCATAAAGGTATAGTAGCATTTTTTCTTCCTAATTATTCCATGTGGTGAAAATAAACATAGAGATTCTCATTCTCATTTAATAAGGCAAAACGAAATGGCCGACTACCTTCAGAAGTTTTGACTTCGCAGCAGCAAGCACGGCCAGTGCAGCCTTCACGTCAGGGCTCTTCAGCTGATCCAAAAGGTAGTTAAACTTGGACAGTCTTTTTTTCCAGTGTTCCAGCTCTGCTCGGGGCCCCAGGTCATCTGCCTCCTTCCGCAACTGATTGTTCTCAGCAAGGACCTAAAAATGCACAGGAAAACTTGAACCACTGACTAGGGCTGGAGATCCAAAAGTTACAGGCAAATGATAAATAAAAAATGAAAGAAATTAGACTACCTGAATTAGGATTTATTTATTCCTTTACATGCTTCCACTGACAGTCTTTCACTAACTTAATATGTATCTATTCTTAAAATTTCAGCAAAAACTTAGCTAATTCATTTTAACTCAAAACTACTCACATAGTGAGCTTTAATGAGCTTTTAGTCACCCTGACCTCAGGGACTTTTTCTGACTATTTCTCACTTTTGAACCTTAGAGCAATATCACCTTGAAAAACTCCATATCCTTGGGCTGGTTTAATTGTACTTGCCTTCTTTTTTAATTGATTTTGTACATTCAATCACTATACATCACTACAACTTGTAAAGTAAATTTACCGAACATGAATACACCTACTACTTTTCTGGAATTTTCTTTTCCTTTTTTTGGCTAGAAGTTGTGTGTCCTTACCAGAGAGAGAACAGAAAGAAGCATCCACCCCCCCATCCCCCCCACATAAGGAAGAGTCATACCGCGATCCCTTCTCCATCCCCTCCTTTCATGATTTTGGCTAAACGAGCACACAGGCCCAGTATGTTTCTCAAGCCACTGGGTCCGGGACTTAAAACATGCAGTCAGTCATGCAGGATCTGTCGGTATTAAACCCCAGGCCACAGAAATAGCCTGAAAGCAATTATTTAAGGTTATGTCTCAGACTCCCTCTTAGAGGACATGCCACATCGGAAAATTTTTCATGCTTCTATAGGGGTTCTCTCCAAGGTCAATGAGACCACAAGAAAAGAATTGATGAAACATAGCCTCTGGTTATATAAAGTCATTTCCTTTCATCTCTGAGAATTCTTATTGTCTTCTTAATGAACAGCTATAAACAAAAATCACATTGATCCTGTCACTGTTTTAAGGAGTTATGGTAAAATATTTAGGCAAATGGAATGTCATAATATACCTTCTTCCACTGGCTAGTTTAGTAATGTAGCGTCTGAAACTGATGTTTGATTTCAAAAAATTACCTGTTCTGCCTGTTTGATCCATACTTTCATACAACTCTCTATTTTTTCCAAAGTCTCAGGGTTATTAGCCAGAGTCAAGTAGTCTACAGGTTCCTTCAGGGTTTTCAGTTCAAATACATCACATTTTTGAAGGTTCACCTAATTAAAATAAAAATTAGATAATAAGATAATGCCTTTGTAAAATGCACACACTGTTGGTTCCGTTTTTTCACTTCACTGCTCTCTGACAGACGTTGGAGAAAGCCTGTCTCGGCAGCACCTACCTCCAACTCCACTCCACTCCACACTCTTTGGTTCCCACTGCTCCAGCCTAGAGGGACCTTCCGGCCTCCTCCATGGTCTTGCACACTTCAGGATTAAAACCCACAGCCCATCAGCCTCTCTCACTCAGCGAGAAAGTTTCCTCCTATATGGAAACCTATCTCACTTTTTTAATACCTTTCTACAATATAAAGTGGAACCACTTGGAAAATAAGAGCAAAGAAATGTTCTTTCTTTCAATAGAATGCCAATGATTTCACTTGGTTCAGCCTGCATTCTGGTCTGGCCTACATCACAGTTCATCGCAAATACGACTTGGAGGTCAGCTGGAGTCATCCTGTGTCTGTCTGGATAAAATTTGCTTATCCTTTGTAAAAGGGTAACCCCTTCCCAATACCCCAGCAGAACTCCTATTCCCAGCAGAGGAAGGTAGGGTGTTCCACGGTCATCGTTACCATAGATTCCATTTCTCTACCTCCATACCTGCCAGATCTGGGGTCTGTCACCTTACATTGCCCCTTATCCCCTCTTCCCTCTGTCTACCCTCATCCCTCTGCTCCTCCACACCTCTATCTCCCTCTCCCCCCACACTTACATGTGAGTGTGCATCCACCATCACTTGCAGGAATTATGGTGATAGTGCAAATGGTATGGAAGCTAAATTTCACATTCTTAAAGGCCCTTTTGGTTACTGGCTGGACCACAAACCCAACCCACTCTCTCCAAACATTAATTCCTCTTTCCTACTGTCCCTTCAGATTTCTTCCAACTCCTACCCACCATCCATCACAGACACACATGTGCACACACATATGCATGCACAGGCACATGCACACGTGTGTATGCAGACACACACACACACACACACACACCCCCTTATCCCCTCTTCCCTCTGTCTACCCTCATCCCTCTGCTCCTCCACACCTCTATCTCCCTCTCCCCCCACACTTACATGTGAGTGTGCATCCACCATCACTTGCAGGAATTATGGTGATAGTGCAAATGGTATGGAAGCTAAATTTCACATTCTTAAAGGCCCTTTTGGTTACTGGCTGGACCACAAACCCAACCCACTCTCTCCAAACATTAATTCCTCTTTCCTACTGTCCCTTCAGATTTCTTCCAACTCCTACCCACCATCCATCACAGACACACATGTGCACACACATATGCATGCACAGGCACATGCACACGTGTGTATGCAGACACACACACACACACACACACATCATGCTCCAGTTTCAAATTCCTTTCATTCTACAATGCACAGCCATACCTCATGCATTGCATACACTTGTCTTTGCAGCCACACGTCTGAGTGACTGAGTAAAACCATCCTGTCAACAAGCTTAAGGAACCCTAAATGTTTCATCATTACAAAGTGTGGAAATTTAAATCCACCATGTCTTGAGGGAACAATAAAATTGCCTGCAAATTTTTTTGAAGATTTGCAACCTAGTGAGATTAAGACCATCTAAGAAAAGTATCGCACACATATATTGTATTTCTGAGCTATTGTGTTTCTGTATTTCTGAGCTATCTGATATTTTTTAAAGGAACAGTGCATTTGTTCTTACTCTTTCCTTCAGACTTTCCTGTGCACCTGACAGGATGTTCACAAAGCCTTCCAGGTTGCTCAAGAACTCTTGCTGAAGGCTGGGTGCTTCCTGGAGACCTGCAAGCTCACCCCAGCCATGGCTGTTTGCCCTGAGAGCTGGGATGAAGATATCCGACAGCAGACGCTTCATGCTATTCAGTAAGCCTCCATCAGCCGTGTCTAGCATGTTGAAGCTCACTTCCTGGCAAATAAATGATGATGACATCCTTTATTGTGAAACTTAACCTTAATCACAGTATAACTACTAAGTTCTTTCTAAATCTAATTTTGAATGTGAGAATTACCAAATACCCAGTAAGTTATTATTTTGACATCCTGGTTAAGAAATAAGCTTTATACTATTCTAAATTGTAGTCATCAAAATAGAGGACTTAATTTTTAGCAGTTGTTTATCAGTTGGTTTGCTCTAAGAAGATCATGCACCCATTGGGGGTACAGGTAGAGATCTATGTGTGTACTTTACACACACAACAAAAAATAAAATTATACATCCATTTATATATATATAAATCTTATTTGTGGCTGGCCTTATATCCTGGCAGTTAAAGGAGCCAGATCTCACATGGCCAACAGAGGTTCCAATATAGCCCTGGCAGCTTGAAAACCATACTGGACACATGTGTGCATGCCCCAAATCCTAACAGTATGGAGAAATGCAGGAGAAGGGACTGCAGCATGACCACGCCCTTCTCCTTCTCTCTGTTGCTCTCTGGTGACCATGCATATTCTCTGGCAATTTTTTTTTAAAGAAATCTAATTTTGAATGTGAGAAATGTGTCATTGGGTATTAAGTCATTGGAAAAGTCATGGTGTGTTTTTCTATGCAAAAATGCATCATGACTTTTACAACGACCCAAAAAATCATGTATAAGGAATTATTTTTAAAAAGAAAAGACCTCACTGTTATACATACAAGTAATGTTATATAAATTTTTTAAGACAAATTAAATATTAAGTCCTCTTCCTCAGAAGATTCGAAAGAACTATTCTCTTAATTGCTTTGCTTTAAATACTTTAAAAAAAAAACTCTTTGAAAATAGTTTTAGATATTCTAACAAACACCATGGTTGTCTTTCCAGAGAAATATTTTTGTCCGATTTACATGATTTTTGAGAATTCGGAGTAGACAGCTGTGCCTGCCCCTTACCCGATGGATGTTCTCAACGGTTATGGCTCTGGCGGGGTCAGTCCTGATGAAGAACACACAGGCTCCTGTCAGAGCCACATCTTTTCCTTCGGTCACAAACACCTTGGGTTTTTTCATCTTTCCAGAAACAAGACTTATCCCTCCTGGAGAATCAAATTGTCCTATAAATGCAAAAGAACTTTCATTTCACAGATGCTATTATTTACAGCCAACATGGTTGCCCCTTAGAAAGTTTCCTTGTTCAAATATTGCCATTGTTGACTTGTCCTTGAGCCCTAGGTGGATCCACCACTCATAGAATCTCTAGAATGAGCCCTAAAGGAACCTAAAATGGTCTGCTTGATTCTATACCACAGATCCATTGCAAAACTTTTGTTCCAGAGTCCAGGAGAAAGGGTGAGGGAAGAGAAAGCATATATTGGCATGTGCTGTCTTCCAGGACCCCTACTAGATATGTTCTTGTCTGTTTTTGGAATGAAACTGATAGAGGCTGCATATTGTAAGATGAATTTGGGAGGGCTCCTTGTATATGATATTTTGGTATAATTATAAATCTGTTTATGGCCCTAGTTTGACCTTAAATAATTGTTCTACTTAAAAGTAGAACAAGATATACCAGTTGAATACATAGAAAGATTTGCAAATTTCTGTTAAGTAGAAAATGCTAAACCAGCCATTCAGGATTACTCATTTCAATCAAAAGCAATAAAACATAAACATAATAGGATTCTTAAATTAAAAATTCATGTAATATTTCATGCATGCTTTGTAAACCATGTACCTCACAAAGATGTACAATTAAATGTAAGTAAGAAATTATACATTTTTCAAATTAAAAGAATGAAAACAAAGTATTTTGTTATACTTATTGGCAATAATTCTTGTTGGAAGATATAATGCCTATATAGATGAGAAATTGATGACCATTAGAAGTTCTAGAACATAATTACACAGATGAGCTAGAATATAAGAAAAGGGAGTCTCAAAACATAATCTACTTTATTATGCCCAAACTGCCAGCACAGCTGGAGAAGGAAAAGAAAACATCTCAAATAATGTTATAACAACCAGGATAAACACCTACCATCATCTGTCCTCAATCCTTTGGGTAAAACAGAACCACTCCCAGAGGTGACAACCACCATGCTGTGTTCGCATGCCCCCATCCCAAGGAGAAAGAGTTCTGGTCGGTTCTCACAGTGGCTCTCCTCTTCATGCTATACCCTTAGATAAATGTAATGACAATATCTTGGGTATGTCACATCCAGTTTGGATACCTGTTTCTGCTGCCTCCACGTCCTGATAGTAAAACATGAGATGGCGGAGACCTCCAACAGCAAAAAGTTGATCAATTCTTTCAATCTAGGAAAAAGAAAAGGCAGGCACAGGAATGACTTTTGTTCAGAATGAATGCCTTGCCATAGTTAATATTCAATTTTAAGAAGTCAATTAATTGTAGAACTATCTGCTACGTGTGCACATTTGAAAATGGACTGTCCCTTCATTTTTACTAATTTCCTAAAGTGCTGAACTGTTGAAAGTAGATATAAATATAGATGAGTGTTTCATTCTCAGTAAATTGTAGATCAGAAAGAGAGAATGCTAAGGTTTGTATGCGTTCTCCCAGAAATGCATGCATTGGAATTTGACAAACCATTATAATGGTGTGAGAGGACAGAGACTTACTCCAACCAAAGTGCTGAAAGGTGGATCCCTAGGGAAGTGACTGGGAATGAATGAGGTCATCATGGTGGGGACCCCCCCCCATGATTGAGTTCTGGTAGCTTTATAAAAGCAAGTCCAGCCATGGTCGTGCCAGCAGCAGTGTACTTCTCTGCAGTGCTGGAGCTACTGAAGATCAGGGTTCAGATCCCAGGTTGAACTAAACCACACAGGGCACGCACGTACCCATGGTCCTGACTGGCTGGAAGGCTGGGGGTGGGGGCATCATGCCACTTATTGGTAGGTACCTTACCATTAAAGGTACCTGTCTATCTGTCTCCTCCTTTCTTAAGAAATAAAAATATAAGGCAAGCCTAGTGGAGTAACAAAGAAGCTGGCTCTCACATAATCAATCACTGTTAGAATTCTGATCCTGGCAGCTAGCAAAACATACTGTACATCCATGGGCATATGTACGTCCATGCCCAAAATTCCAACAGGAGGGAGAAATGGAAGAGAAGGGATTTCAGCAAGACCATATCCCTCTGGGGATGCTTTCTCCTTCTTTCTCTCTCTGTCTCTGGTGAGTGTATGTGCCCTCCCGTAATTTTTTTTTTAATTAAAATAGAATTGTTGTACAATCTAGAAATTCCCTGGGGATGCTTTCTCCTTCTTTCTCTCTCTGTCTCTGGTGAGTGTATGTGCCCTCCCGTAATTTTTTTTAATTAAAATAGAATTGTTGTTCAATCCAGAAATTCCATTTCTGGGACTATATCCCAAAAAATTAAAAGCAGGATTTCAATGACATTGAATCAAAGACATTTGAGTAGCTAGAGTACTCAAAGTCATAGAGAGAGAAAATAGAATGTGGGTTGTGAGGAGCAGGAAGGGAGGGAGAATGGAGAATTGCTTAATAGAGAGTTTCTGTTTTGAAGGATGAGAATGGTTCTGAAGATTGGTTGCCCAGCAGTCTGAATGTCCTTAGCATTACTAAACACTTGAAATAGTTAAGATGGTAAATGTTACGGTATATGTATTTTACTAAAATTTAAGATAATGTTTAAAAAGAAAAAATCTAGCCTAAATGTTTAAGTGTGAAAATAAGGACCCTTCAATTTCCACCATGCTATAGATAAAATGCTGAATCATGGTACATTAAAAAAAAAAAAAAAAAAGTCCTGTTGTTTGTTTTTGGTTTTGTTTTGTTTCTGCTACACTTCCTTGACAGAGGATGCTCAGTGGATGAGTAGGAAGGATTCATTGAGAAGAACTCTTGGCCAAGAATGCAGTGTTTTTCTTTTTTTTTTTTTCCTGAAAGTTTTTTTTTGCTATAGGGTATGTGCACTCACCAGAAAGACAGAGAGAGACAGAGACAGAAAGTGAGAAATCACTCCCCCAGGTGAATGGTCGTGCTGTAATCCCTTCTTCTCCATTCTCCTCTTAGGATCTTGGGTACGCATGCACATGCTCATGGTGTGAGTTTAAGCCACTGGGTCCGGGACTTAAACCGCGGTGACCTGAACACAACAGCAATTCAACCTGGGACTCCTACAGCTCTGGGCTATTGCTCATTTACTACACATGCATTATCCCAAACCAGCTGTCTGAACTAGGAATCAGGATGGAACAAAGCAGCCTCATACCAGGTTCCAAACTGGCTTGAGCCCAGCTTCATTGGACATAGAGAGATGCAGACATTGCTATCAGAAACATGGAACTCAAATGACAAGTCTACCTGAATCTTCTCTATTCAGCATGGAGAGAGCTAGAGCTTAGGTGCTAAACTCATTGTGCCCCCAGCAGTACAGAATCAGAACCCTGTCCATGTTAAAACAGGCACTTCCTCTAAGACACAGCACAGGACCTTGCCATGGAACAGTGTCAACAGATTGGGCCATCCGTAATCAATTCAATAAGAGTTCCAGTGCATCATACCTGGTTCCCTTCAAGGATGGCATCCTCCACATCAGTTTTGCTCAAGTCCAAGCAGGAAGCTATGATTGCAAATAAGTAGTCATGTCTCCCATCCAAATGTGCTCGCTTGGCCTCCTTCTCTTCCTTCAGTCTTTGCTAAAAGAAAAGAATTTAAATGTTTTCTGGCAACTGATGCTCTCAAATGGATTCATTTTGTAATAATTTCATGCTATTGTTATTTTCTTCAAGACTTAGGTATTCAGAAAACAGGCAGTTTAATGGTATCAATTTTTATAGACTTCTATTTTTAGAAATAATGTGATTTCTCTTATGGAAATAAGGCATGCTTATTGTTTTTAAATTGCATAATAAGCTAAAAGAGGAGATAAAAATCTTCTACCATCCAGAAATTATTACTGTTATTTTGATTTAAATCTTTACAGACTTAAATCTATGCATATATAAGCATTCAACAGACACACACACAAAAGAGATCCTCATTTTTGTAAACATTTTCCTCAGCCATTAAGGTAATATCCTTCTACACTATCTACTATCTTTATTGTTTGTCTACAGATTTTATTTGGTCTTAAAATTAACCATTGCTTACTTTTTAACTATTGATTGTTAATCACAATAATAAGGCATGTTCTATGTAATGTGGGCAGACTGAAGTGTATCTTTCTGAACACTCTATGTTCATGCAAATGTATGCATACACACATATCTACATTTATATCATACTATAAAATATTTCCATGTATGTTTCCTTAGCCATGCATTACAGACTTCTTTCTAGTTCAATACAGACCATTCCAACCTTTTAATGGCTGCACAATAATCAATATGGATGTACATACTTTACTCCACTGTTGGCTATTGGTGGTCATTCAGCTTCCAGTTCATTTCTTGAAATAAGTACATTATTTTCAATGCCACCTAATAACTCCTACTCCTCTGAAGTTTTCTTTAATTGAATTATTAAACCCCTGTATGTGCAAATACTACCCAATGACCTATAAAAAAATAAATAAATAAATAATAAAATAAAAAAGTTCATGGCTTGCCTGGAAAGACATGAGCAGAAAATGTAAATATGACAGAATATCATTGACAGTTGCTTCAGAGGCATCAGATTTATGGGTCTCCAAATGCAGGGGACATTTATAGGTCTTCAAAAAAGGAACAAAAAGGAAGATCTCTTCTCCCACTCTGGTCTGGGCTTGAGAAGGGTGGAGTCAGGGGACAGGAAAGCTTTCAGGAAGTGACAGTTCAAATCTAGAATCAAAGGAAGTTTGGCCATACTCCTTGAAAAAGAGGCATTTCTTTCTGCACATGCAAAGGCCAAGAGAGATAAGAAAACATTTCTGGAAACCACAAGGTAGCCTGGATAACTGAACTAAAAAGGACTAGGAAAATAAAGAAATTAAAAAAAAAAAAAGTCAGGTCATAAAATACTGCGTGGACCATATTAGAAAAGTTAAACATTATCTGAACTTTATGAAGAATCACTGACGAGTTTCAAATCAGGAGAGACAGATGTTTACGTGTCTTTGCAGCATCAGAAAATTCATCATTCCAACAGCTATATAGAAAGTGGGCTGGAGCAGTGTGAGCCAATAGGCAGCCAGGTGGAGGATGGTGGCATTCCCAGAGATGGGGACACATCAGGTGGAGCAGGTTGTAGCAACACCATCACGAGCTGAACACTAGGATGTGTTGGAGTTAGATGTGAGTGAATAAGCAGGTGGTCATGGCAGAAAGACCATTGGAAATGTGGATCTAGAGTTGTTCTAGTCCATTATGTTGCTAATAATAGAAAATATGTGAGGTCAGCCAGTGGCATGGCATTTAAGGCACTGGACTAAACCACAGTCAACACTGGTTCAAGTCCCAGACCTGGCAGCTTGAAAATCACTCTGGGCATGTGTGTCTGTACATGTCCATAGTCCCAGGAAGAGAATAGAGGAGAAAGGACTGCAGCATGGCCAGCCCCACTAGGAATGATTTTTTACTTTCTGTTTCACCTTCTCTCTGTCTCCCTCTCTGGTGAGCACACATGCTCTATGGCAAAAACCTTGAAAAATAATAATAGAAAGTACTCGAGTTTGGGTAATTTATAAGACTAGAGGGTGATTTAGCTCATGGTTTAGAGGTCCAAAGGTCAGGGGCTTCATCTAGTGAGAGTCTCCTTGCTGGTAGATCACATGGCAAGACAGACAGAGGAGTGCATACAGCTGTGTCCATGTGTCTCTCTCTTATTCCCTCTCCTTATAAACTTACCAAGCTTCAGTCATGGGGATTCCATTCTGATTGCCTTCATCCTAATTGCATCATAAAATTCCCGCCTTTCAACACCACAAATAAATTTTTTATCCTCTTAATCTCATCACAGCCAAATCTCACTACATGAGCTTCTGGGGGGCATATTCAAACCATAGCAGGAGTTCAAGGGGAAATTGTACTGCAGGTAGAGATACATGTGCAGGTTCACAAACCAGCCCAATTGACCTTAGGGCCCAATCATTTACTGTTAGGGGCAGTACCATATAGGGTGTTTAGCAGCATCTTGGTCTCTACCATTTAGATGCCAGTGACACCTTACTACCAAGTTGCAAAAATTAAAAATGTCTTCAGGCATTGCCAAACATTCCTTATGAGACGAAATCACAACCTCCATTCCACCAAGAACCAACGATACAGTACAGACATAAACAAAGACACAGACAGAAACAAAAATGAGATGACTAAGATCATCAATATAAAAACTATAACATATATTGTATATCTCAGGGTTATGCAGTATGGAATCTGCAAAATTATGTCAGAACCCCTTTCATCCCACAGGTCTTACAAGCATACTAATCATTCAACAAATATTTGTCAAATGAATGTATAAATCAAACTATAAACTGTGAGTTTGGACATAGTTTTCTAACAAAAATACGGGGAGTGAAAAGTAAGAAAATGAAGAACCTTAGTGAAGACCAGTATGCCAAGAGCAAGGAAGGAAAGAAGACAGAATGAGTAAGCAGAATGACAGAAGAAAGTCAGGAGACAACAGCATCAATAAATCGTGAAGAGTGGCTAATGGTGCTAATGTTACAGAGGATTAGTTGGGTTGAGTTCATTGGGATAACTTTTAGACAATCCCACAGTCTATTGTGATGTGGCCATACCACTAATCCATCAAGTTAGACTGTATTTTCCTTCCCCTTGAATTTGATTGGCCTTCTAAGTGATTTTGACCAAAAGAGCCTAGGAGGAAGTGAAGCAGTATAACTTCTTAGGCAGGTCCGTAAGAGATCTTCAGCTTCTGCCTTTGCAGGACAGACTATTTCTTGGAACTCAGCCACCATAATGCGAGGAGCCCAAGCCACATGGAAAGGCCATGTGGAGAAAAAAACAAAACATTCTGGTCAACAGTCACAATTGACCTCTTAGCTGATTCACCACCACCTTTTAACCACTGAGTAAGCTATCTTGGATGTTCTGACCTAGTTGAGCCTACAAATGACTGCAACCTAACCAATGCCACATGCAGAAGAACCACCCAGCTGAGCCCAGTCACCGATAGAATCAAGAGAGATCATAGATAATTATTACTGCTTTAGGCTGTTATATTTTGGAGGGTTTTTATTTGTTTTTCTTAAATAATACAAGTGTGTGCATGAGCAAGAGGGAACGAAAGAAAGTAATGAGAGAGAGAGAAGCACCCACAACAAGGCCTCATTCTGACGTAGTCTCCTTTTCTTACCCTTCCAATTCCTCAGGATCCTGGGTACCCATGTGCATATCCACTGTGTTTTTAAGCCAGTCTGGGAATCTGTATGCACAGCTGGTCATATGACTTTCAGTCTGTCTGTGCACTGGTATTACCATAGCAATACAACAACTGAGGCCCTTAAGTTGTGATGTAGTTTGCTAATAATCTTGTTAGAATAATTTTATATATTGAAGAGAAAACAAATGGATGTCGAGTTAAGTAAAGGATGATTGGGAAAAGAGAAATACAAATATACTAACATGAACTCATTCCAGAAACTTGACTTAAAAAGGAAAAGGTCATAGCACTAGTAGATGGAGGAGAATTTAAACTAAAAAATATTTTTTAATTTGCTATAGGACACAAATACTCACTGAAGAGAGACAGAGAGAGAAAAGGAAGATGAGAAGGCACCCTCCAGGGGAGAACACTCTGCAATTACTTCTCTTCCACTCTCCTCTCAGGACATTGGGCATGAATGTACATGTGCTCAGCATGTTTATCAAGTCACCTGCTCTGGGACTTGAACCACTCAGTAGGCCTATGTGGGATCCAGCTGCCTTAACCACCACACCACCTGGCTGACTCAAGAAAGAATTTTTTTAAGATACTGAAGACATGCAAAAGTAAGGAGGGGGAAATTGGGGATTTCAGAGTCACTGAAAGGTCCTTGAATGATTTGTGTGATTTGCGAATATTTGTCAGATCCTAAAGGATTTGCATATATTTGTCAGATCCTAGAGGGAGGCAATTTGGTTGGGTAAGGGCAGGAAGTAGGCTTAAGAAATAAACAGCCTACTATTTTGTCATTTCTCTAAAAAGGAACTAACACAGGTCCTGACATAAAGTAACATTCTGTAAATGTCAAATAGATGTAAATTCAAATGTCTTTTCAAATGTCACTAAAACCAAGAAGGTGCCCTGTTGTTTTGAACCGTTCTCTATCTTCTTAACAGGAAGAATACAAGATTATTTTCAAAATGATCTCTCTAGGTTTCTATTAAATGTTCTTAACAGCTTGAGAACATGGGGGTTAATCAGAGGAGTCAAGGACCCAGCAATAAAACAAAGAGATAGCAAATGCTCAATCACCACAAAGAAATGAAAGAAGAATAAAGCCAGAAGATTGGAGATGGAAAACAGCTGAAAGTTCACAGAAGTATGGCAACACATTACTCTATGGATTCTATGTGTTAGGATTCCACATGGGGGCCAGCTGGTAGTGCAGTTAATGCAATGGAACCCACATGGGAAGGTTCTGGGTTCATATCTCAGGACTTCCCTAAGTTTAGCCATGATCCCAGCCAGCTGAGACTAGGGATAGACCACAGAACAGTAAATTGAAAGAAAGGGGAAAAAAAAAAAGATTCCAGAGGGGGAACAAA